CCAGAGGCATTGGCGGGCAATGCCATGAGTGGTGAACTTTGATTGTAATGACTTTGAAGTCCTAGAATTGCAAAACCATCTTCTCCGTCTACATTTGTCTCCTTTTTCATGTTAATTGGCGATCCGTACGACTACCTACAGTTCGTCCCACAACGGTGGCTTTGAAATCCTAAACCAGAGTGCAACAAATTGAAGCTAATCATATGGTCAACAATTAATATCAGAAAAATAGTGACAGGAGGATGAAAAGTACGCTATGTTAATGACTGATACACAAAGTCCATTTGCTATTTATAGGCAAAAAAAGAGTCATTGAACTCATTATGTTCTTCGTGTTAGAATGGCCTTGGAATCAGTCACATAATTTCTATTAGAATTTGAAATAACCGTTGCTCTCCCAAATTTCACATTCAACATGAACAAAACCAAAGCAATCAATGGGTTACCCACAAAAACTTGTTATTTGTGTCAAAGTTGCACCCTGAAACAAGTCAATTGACTTTCTCATCTACCATTATAGATACAGAGGATATATTTGATCAAGAGCATAATTCAAGTCAGTGATAAGAAGTACTGAGACTACAAGACTTGGGTTCCTTATTGAACTTGATGTCCTTCCCAAATGCTCACAGATAAAATCTCCAGCAGGCAGCAGACATGAGTTTCTCAAGATCCACATTGGGTTTTACTCCAAGTCCATTTAGCGTCTAAACAAGAACCTCAGTTGTAACATCTCCTGATAGAACTGTAGGATTAAATGGATAACTTCCAAGACTTGAAACTGATGAGTCCACGGTGCTGATCCCCATCTGTAAAAACACGGAAAGCATTTTCACTTGTAATGCATACATGAATTTATAGCAGTAGCCAAAAAGACATGCATCTGACAATCATCTTGACAAGGAAATGAACATATTGAGAAGCAATCATAAAAGATTGAAAATGAGAAAGAATGCATACTTGGAGAGATGCTAAAATATTCAAAAGGGCTTGCCCATAAGTATCAAGGAAATAGACAGCAAGCTTATCAATTGGAACAACATCAAGAACAGCTTTAAGCATTTGAATGACAGTTCCTTCAACATGGCACAAAAGAAAAAGATCAAATCTAAGTTAACCCCAAAAGTTAAAAAAATAAATTTGAGACTGACACATTAAAACCAACATATAATCTATCAGTCTGTATCAGATAATGGATTTAGAAGAAGGTTCATGTTATTTGTGTGCATAAAAATCACTATCATGTTTCAAAATAAATCAACAGAATCCCCACCACACCCCACCCCACCCCACCTGAAGGTAAGATATAAACGAATAATGTGGGATTCCAAATAGAATACAGTTTTAAGCATTACCAGGTGTGACAACACCAGTTGTATCACCAAGAGAAATTTCATAGCAACCCATATCACATAGTTGTTTGGCCACATATGCAAATTTTGATCGAGGCACCATTACTTCTACAGGGGAACCCATGACACATGATATATGTCTGCAAAGTTGAAGACTAAACTAATTGAGAATTCAATGGGTTGAAATAAGACTAACTTTTCTACCCCTTTTCTTCCCCCACATTAAGAGCATCTCAAATATGTGATTTTTCACATTTCTCAAATAATTGAGTTCATGAAGAAACTCATTTTCTCACAAAATTTTTATAAGAGCATATCATCTCATCTCACATTTTATCACCACAAAATGGCTTCTCGGTCACGTAAGCTTAAAAGGTTTAACTTACGTTTCCGGAATATATCAACCCAAATATCAAGTCCATTTTTTTTTTTTAAATTGTTGCATGGACAAAATTGGGTAGCTCTCTTCTTTAGTCTTTTACTAGGTCAAAATTTTCATAGACCATTTTCCATGGTTCCTAAATGAGTAAGATAACACAGCATTCACTAAAGATTTGTCAGAGAGCAAAAATAATCAACTAACAAAATATATGATTATGAAAAATATTTTACACATAATGGCATAACCAATGCACTTAATATTTTACTAGCCGTTGGAGTTAAATCACATTCATGTTGAAATTTATTAGCTGCAAATACAACTCCTTAAAGATTGCATCATGGCATAATAGTTTCACATGCTAGGTAATTTTTCACTCTTTTTTTTTCTTTTTACTATTGAAAATATCTCACAAATTAAGAGTACGACAGCAGCAAAAGGAGCACATATCTGCACGCATTAAATTCATAACAATTTCCATTTATGATATTTCAAGCCGTTGGAATTTAAACAAACCAATAATATCATTAAGCTCCAACATGTCATGATAAAAATATGTATATTCATTTGCAAGAGCAACATATGAAAGTAATCGGGTTAACACTATTTTTTTTTTATTCACATGCCATTAAAATAAATAGTCTACCATTCAAGCATGTGCTAATAATCATATTAAGATCTAAGAACTCATACCTTCGGTTGACAAATTAATAGGATTTTCCTCATTTAGGACATATGCCAAATTTAATAAATTAAGATAATATAAAACTTTTCCTTTCCATCTTTTGAAATACTCACCGTTAAAACGAAAAGGCATGTTAAGATCATTAGCAAGCTTAACAGGTTTTTCACGAGGTAAACTCATTTTTTTTTTAAAGAATTTTTCTTTCGAAACGTCCTAAAATTGTTGTTCCTCGTAAAAATAAGTAGAAAAGAAAATAGATAGAAGAATAGCAAAAAACAATTAATTAAAGATGAAGATGAAAAGTAGAAAGATGTCACCGAAAATATGAGGAGCTTGAGCTGAGGCGTGGATCAATCACTCTCTTTAGGACGTTTCGTGCCATTGGTGCAGCAGATTTTTATGGTCACGCCGCCCCCAGGATACAACAACCCACTTGTTGTATCTTTACAAGTACTGCACTCTTGTAAAGAAAGCTCTACCCCACAACATTTTCCTTGCCTAAAGAGAGTTTATATATTGTGTTTGTGAAATAAGAGCGCAGATCAAAAAATTGTATCAACCTATTGGTAGAAAAGGAGGCTGCCTATTTATAGGCTTTTACAATGTAACCGGAGTAAATTAAAATAAGAAACGGTTGGAATTTAAAATGGCATATGTCAGTTACAAAGAATTGAAGTTGGTGAATAAAACAAAATTTGAAATTGGTGAGCCATTGGCTAGCCGGTCACAACATTTGAATTTAATTTTATTCTTTAAGAAAGAAACGCACAAATCCAAGAAAGCATGGGTTTGTAACTGCACAA